CAGACCCTTGGGCGCTGTCAAAGGCCCTGTCCATAGACCCTGCTCCGCTCGACTCGATAAAGGGCCTGTGGACTAGCTCGATGCCTACTACTACTACTACTACTACTTCTACTACTTCTTCTACTACTACTACTACTGCTGCATTGTTTCTGTTACTACTATATCAAGGTATGGCCCCCAATGGACAAAGGGCTCTTGCCACTACTGCTGCTAGCCCAAGAAGAACGCCTGCTCAACGGTGCGGCCCGGAGGCAAGCTTCTCCGAGAACGCCAAACTGGCCGGAATGCAGCAAGAACATGTGTCCAAATCAAGCATCCAAAGAAATTCAGGATAGCTCGGCCCTATTGGACATGCTTGTGCAAGACATGCGATAGTCAGCTTTGTTAACCTGGAGCTACTCCCCTACACGGGATGCCGTGACCCTATCTCAAGTCTCTGGCGATCTGCTGCCGTCAGCACCGGCACAGCCTGGCCTCTTTGCAAGAAGCTCGTCGTTCATGGCCAAGGCAAACATCGTGCTGCCGGATACCTGCAGGTTTGCAGCGAATGTGGCAAGAGTTGGCTGTCGCACAATGCAATCACCAAAGCTTTGTCTTCAGACACACATCGTGAGTACTTCGATGGTCCCTGCAGGCTGCGGCACCCCTGCAATGGCAGCGACCACGCCGAGGCCCACCAGCAGCGACCGAATGTCGCGGTATGGCGGCGTGGTCCTGCAGTGATTTCAGCCCGAAGGGAGCCTCGAAGTTGTGAATATCATAGCATATTCTAGTATATTGTAGTATATGATGGTACATTACAAAACATGATAATACGCAATTTATTAGAGTAGTATGGCACTATATAGTGGACCCTCGGGGTCCCGAGGAAGCTGATGAGCAGGCACTGCATCGCAAAGACGGGATACAAGTACAGCCTGAGCAGTACTGCAGGGACAGGCTTGGCCTTGAGATGTCGATGCCTGGGGCTCGGTCCCGTTTGAGATGTGGCTGCTTGGCCCTGTGAAGAAGTAGAAGTTGAAGGAGTGATGGAGCTGCTGTAGGGCATTGCTCATACACCTGCACAGCTAGCTTCTGTCACAGTAAAGCCGTAGCCAATGCAGTGCAGACCCTGGCAGCACCTAACGACGCTTTCGATGGACATCGCCAGCGAATCCACACTGCAGCAGTCACTGGAGAAAGGCTTTGCCCATGCACACTGGAACAAGACAACCGTATGCACAGGGTGATCCTGCCGTCAAGCTCAGCTCTTTTGAAGATGACTCTTTTCTTCTTATCCCACCTAACCCCTCGCTGGGGCATCGGCTTCAGGGTCGAACTGCGATCGCCTTTCGCCGACCTCACGCGTTTCAGGCTGTGCTGCACGGAACCAAGAGGCTGCCTATCAACAACTCAGCTCCAGGCACACCTCTGATGGTGAAGGCCGGGACCTGAAGACAAATGCTAAGCCTAGCCCAGTGATTGGCGAGGTCGCCAACGTGGACGTTCCGACTCTGCAGGTAGCACGGGGCCTGCAGCTCCAGAAATGCGGCATGACCTCAGAGGCACATTGCCCACGATTCCAGGCACTAATAATAAGAATAACAATGTAATATGCCTGCAGCCCCCTTGCCTGAACCCGCGAGGCCGCGGCTCGTGTGGACTCCGCCATTCCTGGCACGGGCTTGGACATCAAAGGCTACACGTAGTTGCTTCTGCGATGACGATGATGATGATGATGATGATGGTTGTATTGTAGTGTTGGTAGTGGTAGCGCTCGTTCTGCCGCTGGTGCCAATGCTGGCAGAGTTGGTGACGAAGTCGTAGTATTAGTGGTAGCAGCAACATTAACATTATGGCTAGTGGTGGTGTTGCTTGTCGGGGCAGTGGTGGAAGCAGCTGAGTTGAGTGCAGCACAAGCAGGAGGGAAAGAGGAGCAGCGAATCGTGGCCGTGGTCGTGGCCATCGTGCAAGAAGCAGCGGATGTTGTTGCAGCAGCAGCAGCAGCAGCAGCAGCAGCAGCGGCTTGGCTAGAAAGCCGCACTCAAAGAATGATGCACAGAACTTCGGGAGCATCATTCTTGAAAGCCTAGGTTCATGTTCACATATCTTCAAGCAACAGGCCCAAGAAGGCCAGAGTACAACATCAAGCTTCTATTGAAAAAGGGGTTTAGTCTTTAATCTATGGGCCTCGCATGGTGCATCACAGACTCCCAGGCGTCCCGATGCCGCACGACGAGTCCTGGACGCTCCTGAACACGACTGCACATGCGACTTGGGCCTAGGACAATCCCTTTCTGAAAATCTGCCGTCTAGGGAGATATGCTTAAGCATGGGCATGGACATGCTCACCACAGATCATGCTGCAGCTGCCGCACTGCCGACACATGCTAAGCCTTGCTGCCCCCAGGTCGAAAAATCAGAGCATTTCCCATCTCTTGCATTCAGACTGGAACGGAGCATCGAATCCTAAACCCTAAACCCTAAAGCGCCTCTCCGGAGGCGATGCGCACTAAAGGGCTGAGGCAAGGACTCTCGCAGTGATAGAGTAGGTGTTCACCAGGTCCTCACCAACAAAGCAAGAAAGCTCGAGTTGCCCTGTCTGGTAGCAGTAATACGATAATCAAACTCTCATAGCAATATTGTGATTATTCTACAAGCGCATTATAATGCTATAACTAGTCGGTATTAGTACTTTCGTTCTACTACAGCGACCAGAGCAAGCCCAAACGCCAGGACAGCAGGCCGTTTGATATAGGGGCCTTCATCACTAGAACAGGGTTTTGGGGCATATGATACTATAGCTGTAGCAAGGAACCCGAAAATAGCATTGGTAATTCAACCCCTGCGTTCGACTCATGTGGCCCATGGCCCATGGCCTGGTTGGGCACCATCCCATTGATGCCTTCTACATCCAGCAGCAGGGATGTTGCCTCATATTCTCACGAACCGATTCCCGAAAGGAATGCAGCCAAGTCTGTCCTCAGAGAGTGTCTTGGCTTCTCTGGGTCACGAATACTCACGTGGCGCCACAGTTTGGAGCTGGGAAGAGTGCAGGAGAACCGAAGCTGAGGAGTCAGCCCCATTCTTGACCTGCAGGATGACTGCCTGCCCAAGACCGGTACACCAGAGCATGATCATAGTACGATTATGGAATACTTGTAGTCAGCGATACAGTCTCAATTGTGGCCAAGACCGACCACCATAGAATTACTACAGGAAGAACAATGGCTTTATAGTATTGTTATGGCATTGAGGGGCTTTCTTGAGAACCGCAGATCGGAACATCTGATATGATTTGCTCTATGCAAGCCCGTGGTTGTGCCAGGCTTACAAAATCTATGGCACAGTTACCTCCTCCTGGGGATCATGCCCGAAGGAACAAGCTCGACAACAACCATGACAATTGGCGGTGGTGACGGTGATGATGCAAGACAGTACGTATAACGACGGCTCGACGATGAAGCAGACGAAGATGATGACTAGTATGGTGCAAATGAAGAAGATGATGATCATAGTCATGATCAGGATCCTGGTCATGAGATGATGATCTTCATGTTCATGGTCATGATGCTGATCATGATGATGCTGGCGACGATCATGATGATGATGGAGATGACAATGATGGTTCTACACCCTAAACTGGCCCTAACCCTTAAACCCGAAAAGCTGGTGGGCAGATTCGGCCTGACGCAAGGCCCCACGCCGGAGCTCCGAGTGGCCCTCGATGTAAGCCCGAAGCCAGGCCTTCAGCAGACACCATAACATCATATGATTCATAGCATCATGCAGGCTTGGACAGCTATTCTTGTAGCTGGGAATACTTGGATGACTCTCTCGGCTACTGTTTTTACGATCGCTGATGCATGCATGCATGCATGCATGCATGAATACATACATACAGTACATACATACATTACATACATTACACGCATACCATACCATACATACCATGCATACATACATACATACATACATACATGCATACATGCATACGTACATACATACATACATACATACATACGTGTACGTGTAGCATCTCTACTGTTGCAGGTCTTAATTTCATATGCAATGCACTCTGACATGGAGAGATAATTCGGAGACATTCGCCATTGTACCGCTGACGGACAAAACACTACAACGCCTCAGGTCCCCTGAACCAAACATGTGACAGTCTATGTTTCGGATCATTAGAGGAGGTTTCCGGGATTCCGCTTATTTTGGCTTCAGAACCTTGGATCCGAATCATTCCGAAACAGGCTAAACTACTTGTGGCCCTCCCCGGCCCAATTGCGTAGGATCCCCAGCACGAGCACCAGCACCATAGGCCAGGTTGGAATCCACGAACACTACGAAGACGTCTCGCGACAGCCAGTGCACGGTCCTGCCGTTCTGTCGTTTTGAGCAAGTCGGAGCTGTCAGTCGCAATCAGGCTCGGCACATGAATGAATCACCTTCCAGACAACTACTTGTATTCGTTGCACTTTGAAACTACGTCACGCCAGCGTAGCGGCTCATGCGGGGAATTACTGCACACGGCTGTCTACGCCTCAAGTGCTCATCTTCGACTACGCTGTCGTCATAATTTACGCAGTATCAGTTTGGCACCACTTTAACCGTTGGAGCTGAAATCAGTTCTTGACATGGCCCACCGGGTGCTGGCCAATACACATCTTGTTGCAGCACGCCCCGACGCGAGCAAGCGACTTGCCGTTGTGAACATGCTTGGTTATCATTGCAACGGGTAGCCACAATGCTGTGAGTGGTGCCTGAAGTAGCGGGCCAATGTGACGCCGATGCCAATCCCCCAAGAAGACTTTGCCTGATGGAAGCTCGCTGATCTTCATGGTCTGTATGTTCACACAGTTACCAAGGCGCCGACTGCACTTCTCTTCATGGTCCAGTTCGAGGCAATCATCTCAGCAGGCGCTGAGCAGTAGTAGTAGTAGTAGTAGTAGTAGTAGTAGAAGTAGTAGTAGAAGTAGTAGTAGAAGTAGTAGTAGTAGTAGTAGTAGTAGTAATTAGTAGCAGTAGCAGCAGCAGTAGCAGCAGCAGTAGCAGTCGCCGGAGTAGTGGCACCAGTAGTACCAGTAGTACCAGTAGTGGAAGTAGTGGTCTTCGTTTCGTCATCGCAGTGGTACTAGTAGTGATCGCGTGAGTGGGAGGAGGAGAGGGGAAGGAGGAGGCAGCAGGAGCAACTCACTAGCAGTAGCAGGAGCAGCAGTAACAGTGGCGGCAGCAGCAGCAGCAGCAGCAGCAGCAGCACCACCACCACCACCACCACCACCACCGGAAACAGCAGCAGAACAGTAGCGATAGCGATAGCGGTCGGTCGTACTAGCAACAGCAACAGGGAGGACGACAACAACAATGGTGACTATATACTTGCAAAAAAATGACGATTGCTGCAACAGTGACACCCGAAACCAGCAGTAGGAGCAAGAGCAGCAGCAGCAGCAGTAGCAGTAGCAGTAGCAGTAGCAGTAGCAGTGTGGCGGCAGGAGTTTGCTGTACTGTACTGTTTGGGCGGCGCCTGCAGAGCCATCCACTTACTTTCAGTTTCGTTTGTTTCATCTGGTTTGCTGTGTTCGCTTGAGCCGTACAGGAGGGCGGATCGTGTTTGTCGGTGTGGCCATGTTACTGACGGGAACTGTGGTGCATTGGCTATGCCACTCAATTCCGCGTATGGCTGTGATCAGTTCCTTACTTGCTGGATCCACCCATCCTTGCTTGCTGAGCCCGAGAGTGAGTGCCGACATGAACCGCCCATACGTTCTATACCGTTTTCGAGTCACTGGGTCGAGGGCACTGAACCCGACTCCTTCTTAGACCTCAGAACTTCGCAGTGCAAGTGTAGCACTGTCACTGGGCTCACATGTCGCACTTGCTTGCTTTTCAGGAGCTCCGTGACCTGCCAGAAGATTCTGGCAGGGGCTGGTGATAGCCAGGCTCGAACGAAAGCTCTCTGTGCTTTGTCCAATGCCAAACGCAACAGACCAGCAAATTCAGGTATATCGTTTATACTTCTAACGGTGCTTCTGCTTGAAGCTCAGATTCCAACCTAGTCGTTGGGCTTCGGGCCATGAAATGTTGTGATCGCTAGCTTTTTGGCAGGAATTCGTGGACATGACTTGGCCCTCCAGGCTGCTGTGCCTGGCCAGCACGAGCTTCCCATTCGATGCTGCGACGAAGAACGAGTCGTAGGGTTTGCGCATTCATCGTAGCAGTTGTCGTCGTAGTCGTAGCCGCGGCACTCGGCAGTGGCGGTGATGTCACTGTCTCGATATTGTGGCACCACTACTGTGGTGATTGAGACCGAGCACAGTAGTCAGATCACCTCCTGCTCACCAAGGTCTGCCGCCATGTTTGCTCAGTTCGCAGTCGAGCCTTCGAAGAAGACTTTAGTGATAGGGAGGACCCCGGCGGGTGCAGAATGGCGCTGTGCAGCTGGCTGTATGACTCACGGACTGCGATGTCGAGATTCATCGATGGGTTTGCAGTTGTGGCATGAAGACAAACAGTTTCAAGATGCTTGTTGTGCGGGATTGTGTGATTGTAATGGCAGTGATGATAGCGATGACTGCAATGGGACGCCGATGGAGACAATAGAATCTTAGATTTCACTTACATTTCTCTTAGCATGCATGAGAATGAATGAATGAAGATGATGATGTCGACCAGAGGAGAAGGAAGAGGAGACTTCTGAAGACTATGATGCGGTGTGACAATCCCAGCACATGCAACGCCCAAACACACTTCTGAGTCAAAGCATCCTGTGGGAGGAGTCTTCACAGATCCGCAAGGTCCTGCCGCAGGGTTATGATTGACAGTCTGCAGGTGTGTGTCCATTTCTGTAAATGAGTTGCGGTCGCCCTGCAGCTCTGTAGCCGCAGGAACCTGATTTAGCAGTGCAGCCTGTTGGAAGCAAAGCCGCATTGTCCCCACATGGAAACTGCTGAACTTTGGACTGCCCATGCATGCACTTGTACAGTCTACATGAGACATGAGACACAGCTGTTGCAGCCGCCACTCGATCAGGTTTGCATACAGGAGCGGTGCATTCTCCTTGCTGGTTTTAGCTCCTTGTCTAGCAGCATGCATGCCGCTGTGAGTGGCGGTGTGGCTGTCAGCCAATGCCGAAGTGGAAACGAGCAGGCTTACACTATCGTAAATGCATGTTCACAGCGAGGACGATGGCAAACACGAGCAACACTAGCAACGGTACTGGTAGCTGGTAGACATTGCAGCACTAAGGACAACCTCACGGCGCAGCTCAACCTCACCAAGGAGAGAAACTTTTGGTTTAGAGTCCTTGCTGGTAAAGAATCAACAATACTTGCCTTGACTCCCATCAACCCGACTGCCATAAAGAATTCGGGGAGGGTGTCTACAAGTTCTTGGCCAGGAGCAGAGGCACGAGTACTTGCCCGACTGGGTTCTGCCCAGCCTCGGCGAGCTGCTTGAGCGCGAGAAGGACAAATAGGCCAGGCAAGCAGTGACTAGGCTGCTTATGTTTGGTTGCGCGGTGCCTGTGCACCGCCAATTTTCTATCGAGCTGCTGCCACTGTACAGACGTATTGCGCGACCCCACTGACCTCGTGATTGGCGCCGCACTCTAAGACGACAGAGTCTGACTGACAACTTCGGTCGGATTGCTGGCAATGACGAGGCATCGGTTGAACGTGTGGGTTCGATTTAGTCGTGCCGGCTTGAGACGGCGAAGCTGCTCAAGCTTTGAATCTCGGTCCTGGCCCCACGCGCAGGAGAGCGTCACGAGCTCGGCAAATTGAGACACGCGAGTCTGGGACATGCCGTGCTTCAATCTGTAAGTACCTGTTGAGTGTCATCTTGCTATATCTTGCTTCATTGCCGATCCGGGAGTCTCGTTTTTGTTCGCTCTCTGCTTGCGGAATCTCGGCAGCATTGATGGCATGTTGGGCCCATAACAACTGCCTTGCCGTGGGAACCACGCGGGCATCAGAAGAGCTTTATTGGAAGTGCGAGGAGTGCAAGTGTAAGTTCGTCTTGCGCCCCTGAGAGGCGGGGTTTGCAGGCCAGGTCGCACGAGACAGAGTCTCTGCGGCCCAAAAGACTCCACTGCCGCTTGTATCATGTCACTTGTCATGATTTCAAAATGTGTCCGGCTTTTTTGCTGCCTCCCGGCAAGACAGCATGAGCTGTTGTTGGCCTGTCTCAGGTGATCGCAGATGCCCCGAGTCAAGCCACAGTGAGCGTCGTAGGATCATGAAGAGCCCCTGTGATCGCGTAGGTAGCTGGCACATTCCCAAACCACACCAGTTGCCCACGACAGACAGCGAGGCTCACACAGCCAGAGTGCGAAGACTGTGATTGGGTGATCTCCTTCCTAGGCTTCACGAAAACCCTGGCAGAAGCACGACCAGAAGCCATGGCTACCTTGCCAGACTCCGATGGAGAGCAGTCTTGCTGCATGTTTGCGCAGACTTGCTCGTCCTAGTGCCCGCTTGACTAAGGGGCGTGGCACCCCCGAAGGACCGGTGCCAGTGTGCCGCCCAAAGCCCGAGAAGTCTTTTGCCGGAGGAGCCCTCTGACATGACTCCTGAAGAGCGGTCGGCCTTTGCCGTCCGCTGCAAGGAAATCGGCAACCGAGCCTTCAAGGTCACGAGAGTGGCACGGCACGTCACGGTAGCTCAGGGCGCCAGTTGCAGGCCTCGGAGTGGGACTACGCCATGCTGGCCTATCAGGAGGGGCTCCGATACTTGGCACCTCGTCTGCAGACTCCGAATCCTGCAAAATAAAGAGGCAAAGAGTCACTGCCCCACACCACGTTTCAGGAGTATGTGCCCCACGACCATGAAATGCAGCCCATCCCGGGGCTGGACCATGGTGGACAAGAGCAGTTAGACAAGGAGAGCTGCTGGTGACTAGTGGCCGTGCCTGGCAGATGGTGAGATTAAGGAAGACTTGAGCGAAGGACATGCCTTTGGCCTCGATTCTCTTCAGCAACCTCGCTGCTGTTGCTCTCAAGCTTGACGATCCTCGACAAGCCCTGCACTATGCCGAGAACGCGCTGCGCTTCGACATGACCCACGCGTCCTAGCTGCAGGGTTGAGCCGTTGAATCCATATGTCTTGCTTGTACAGTTGTATGTTCCAGGTGACAGCGAAGGCGCTCTTCCGACGTGGCCAAGCCTTGCTGGCTTTGGGAGAGCACTCCGATGCTCTAGCGACAGCCGAGGAGTTGTTGAGGAAGGACCCAAAGAATTCCGAGGCTGTCGGCTTGAAGTTGGCTGCAGCGACGGCGATTCAGGCAGCCAAGAAGAAGGAGAAGCTCCTCTTCTCGAAGATGCTGGGCTGAGCCAAAATGCCTGAGTCCTTCTGGAGAGCCCTGCGTTGATGTTCGCTCACGAAGAGGAGTGTTCCACACGCCCGCTGTAAGTGGAAAGAGCATCCATTGAGTTATCCGGACATGCACATCGCGGTGCCTGCGAAGCGTACACAACACAGACGTAGGAAGTTCATAGTGCAGCATCTGGCATAGTCTAGTGAGCACCCGGCCGTCAGTGTAGGAATAGGTGCAATCACACGGCTCGGGGCGTTCTGCTCCTGCCCGAATGGAGGTGCCGGGGAGCCCAGTCGCCGCAAATAGTGATCCACCCTGATAGTCGGGATCTTTTCAGGCACGAGACGGGCGCCTTTCAGTTGGGTGCTGTCGATTTTCTGCCCAACAGTTGCGGCACAGTGGGGAGACAGTGCTCAAGCAGGAAGCTGTTGAGGCCATCGCATTGGCTGGTGCTGTACCGCTTGGCCATGACCTTCGTGACCATGGTCAGCTTCCAGGCACAGAGCAGCCCGACCAGTTCCAGCCATGGACATGACTCGCAGGAGCTCTGGGGCATCGCGCTGGCCATTCTTCATGTCTCAGCCTTACAACTGCAGAGCAGCAAGGCGAAGCAACAGATCTGACAGATCTCTCACCAAGACTGAACCAACAGCTATAGCACTCGCCACACATCGGAAAGCGGCTAATTGCATCAGCTTCAGCTTCGAAGCTCCAGGTGGCTGGTGACTTTGCCAGAGGAAGCTGCCAATACCTCAGATGATCCGTATGTTTCATTCTGTCCTGGCAGCTTCAACCGAACAGCATTCCGGTGCTGGTACTGTACTATTCTTGTGTGAACGCAGAGCTGTCGTTGGCTCTTTGTCGAAGCATTTTAGCTGGCCCACTTGGGAATGGGCGGTAAAAGCATTCGAGACCGCACCACCGGTCGATGACGAGTTCCGTCAGTTGTTGTGTCAGAGGCATTGATTCAAACAAGCATTAGCAGCTTCGCACGCAAAACACGTTCCAAAGATGGCTTGTGAGCGCATGAAGCCTTAGCACGTCGGATGTCGAAGCTGGCCGCCAGTCAAACGCTCTACAGCGTCCTGGGTGTGAACCGACATGCCGACAACACTCAGATTCGGCAAGCTTACCGACACCTGGCGCTCGCCACACATCCTGATAAGGGTGGGAGTGCCGGTGAGTTCCTCAAGGTGGTGGAGGCCTTCGAGGTCTTGTCAGATGCCCAGAAGCGTGCCACCTATGACGAAGATCTGCAGAGAACTGGAAGTCAAGACGGACGCGGTATTCAGGCAGCAGCTGACAGGAGGCAGGGCGCACACACGCACGGCTTATATTAAGGCTTATATGACATGCAGCCAAAGAATGAATACACCCTGAACCGGTCACTCACTGTGCTTCTGCATTCCCAACAAGGCGCGCAGAGGCAGAGGCCGCGCAGGCCCAAGCAGATGCTTTTGGGCTGCCGGACCTGGGCAGCTCGGAAGCAGTGCTTCGGCTTGAGAGCGACTACGACTAAACTTCACTTGGGTTTTGCTGAGGTAAAACCGATCCGGACCAGAAGCCTTGTGAAGGCTGGGGCACCACAGAGGAGACAAAGCGAGCGAAGGCCCTGTGGTTAGAGCTTCTAGACGAATCGGCAAAAAGGAGAGCTGATACTCGGCAGCATTCTGAACATAGTTTGGCAGGCTTGCTGTTCGCAGCTTCTCAAAACGGCTATAGTCCAGAAGTGGTTGAAACTTACAGTAAGTCTTTGCCCCAACACCGGAGCCACCTTTCGTAGCAGCTCTTTTGCCTTCGCTTGTTGTCTCAGTTGTTGTTCCCAGGAGAAAGTCTTGGAGCTGTCGTGCCGGGCAGCAGAAGTCCTGTTGGCATACGCGCGCTCCAACGCCTGCCTTGGAGGCCCTCAGCGCGATAGGTTTTTGCGGGCAGGGGGGTTCTATGGCCCACAGCCACGGGCGACTGCCTATCAGGTGCTCCGATGGTGGGACTGGACACTGCCGGTGGTGCCATAACAGCATCCACAGAGGCCAGAAAGCAGCCACAGTTCATCCGACACCGCGCTCAACAGCCTCCGTGTGGTTCTCCTGAACCAAGCGAAAGCCAAGCCATTTTCAAGATGAATCTCTCCAGCTGTGTATCTCCCACACCACATGCAAACCTCGGGTGCCGGTCCAGGCCGTCGACGATGTCCGTGCGAAGGGCATGGTAGTTACAGAGGACGAGGGCTGTGGCACCTCCCTGCTCGCAATGCCTGGAGCGACCCAGGACGGAACTCGCTGACCGACTGCGAATCTGTTGTTGTTAGTCGTTTCGCCGACTGGACGTAGCACTTTCAGAGCTAGAGTGCGTAGATGCAGTCAACCTTGAAGCTCCGTACAGTTCAGGACAAAGGCCACGATCAACTCGAGCGCGGCGCAGACCAGCTTGAGCACCCTGCGAAGCGTAGGCGCACAGGTGTGGAAGCGGTGCCATTTGCCAGCAAAGCCAGAAATTCTGGACATGGCTTTGAATCGCTCTTCGACTGCTTGCCATTGAAGTAAGGATCCCTGGCAGTGGTGGCTCCCGAGCTTGGATATGCCTAGGGAGGCTGAAGATATGCACAGGGGCCTCTGGAGATGTCGCAGAAGCAATCAACTGGCACATTCTTCTCATCAGAGTGAAGCAGCTGCAGCTTGACTCAATGCAAAGGCAGTGCACTAGCTGTCCCTTTCGCAGCACGCAAGCCGGCAAACCACCAGCTCTACGTTGGCCTCCTCTCGTAGATCCCTCCATCCACTGCATCGCCAGGTTCAACGAGCTCACGGCTCGGGGTCAGCCCTTTGCATCTGCAGTTCGTCGAGCGGTATCCGCTGCTCTGGCCGAGAGGGATGCTGAAGGTGGCGGCCCAAGTTCCAGCATGCAAGCTTTCAAAGCTTTCGAGCACTCACCCAGTCTGTGCGTATGTTTTCGAGTGAGAGAGATAGAGAGTGAGCGAGTGAGTGAGTGAGTGAGTGAGTGAGTGAGTGAGTGGTTGAGTTGAGTGGGTAAGTGAGTGAGAGTGTGTGTGTGTGTGTGGGTGGGTTTGTCTGTCTGTCTGTCTGTCTGTCTGTCTGTCTGTCTGTCTGTCTGTCTGTCTGTCTGTCTGTGCGTGCGTGCGTGCGTGCGTGCGTGCGTGCGTGCGTGCGTGCGTGCGTGCGTGCGTGCGTGTGTCTCTGTATGTGTGTGTGTGTGTGTCTCTGTGTGTGTGTGTGTCT